TTTTTTTTTAAGTTTATTGATTTATTTTGAGACAGAGACAGAATGCAAGCAGGGAAGGGGCAGAGAGGGAGGGAAAGAGAGACAATCCCAAGCAGGGTCCGCACTGTCAGCACAGAGCCCGATGTGGGGCTGGAACTAACAAACCATGAGATCATGACCTGAACCAAAAGCAAGAGTCAGCCAACTTAACCAACGAGCCACCTAGGCACCCCTAACTGATAGCTTCTGAAACCATTTGAGAATAAAATTGTAGACATGGGGCCCCATGACCTCTTAATACTACAGTATATATGTCTGAAATGCAAGGACACTCACCTACTTAACCACAACACAGCTGTCAAGATCTGGAATGCAATGATAATCTAATTATTACCATCCAATCCACTTAATCCTTCAAATGTTGTCCTAATGATGTCCTTCATAGGTCCAATATCCAATCTAGGATTTCATGTAGTTGTCATGTCTCTTTAGTTTCCTTCAGATGAACAGTTCCTTTTATCTTTGATGACCTTGACATTATTTTTAAAGATTTTATTTTTAAGTAATTGTTACACCCAATGTGGGCTTGAAATTACAACCAAGAGATTAAGAGTCGCATGCTCTACTGACCGAGCCAGTCAGACGCCCCGTGACTTTGACATTTTTGAAGAGTATATGTCTTTGTAGTTACTTTGTAGAATGTCCCTCAATTTGAATTTCTCTCATGTTTCCTTATGATTTATGTGTTTTTGCTAGGAATACCACAGAAATGGTGCTGCCCTCTCAGTGTATCATATCACAAGGCAAATGATAATCAGATTTTTTACTGTGGATGTTAACTTTTATCTCTTGGTTGAGATCGTGCTACCAGGTTTCTCCAATATGAAGTTGACAAATACTTTGTACTTAGTAATTAATGAGCAATTAATATGTCTTTTGTGGGCAGACAGTTTAAGACTATACCAATAACCTGTTTCTCACCACATTTGACCCACCAGTTGGAGCATGCGTTGATGTTTCTTGTGTAAATCAGTGGTTACTATGAGGGTTGCTAAATGGTGTCATTTATTATAATTATTAATTGTATTATTGCTCTATTAGATTTGTTTTTCAACAGTATACTGTGGGGTAGAGTTTTCTCCCCCTTTCTGTAAATATGGACTTACCCATTCCAGTTTCTCTCAGAGGGTTATAATCTGTTACTAGCATTATTTATTTTGATGCTGAAATTGTCCTAGACTTGGCCAGGGTCCTTTTGACATACCTCTATCATTCTCTGAGCATTTCCTTACTTTTTGTAGCAACAAGTTGTTCCAGGATCATCTTGTTTCTTGGCCTCGCTGTGGAGTCAGCCATTTCTCCAAGGAACCTTAATTCTTATTAGAGGAAAATGTATTTAAAAACTGAGATTTTGCTACAAGGTGTACACCTTGCAAGTGGGTATCATTGCTTCTGGGCCCTTTCTGTGGACCCAGCTAAGAAATATTTGTAGGCGATTCTGTACTTACATGTTTACACACTCACCTCTATATTTGTGTCTGTATTTACCTGTTAAAAACTAGGAGTGCACACCAGTTCTTCAAGTTCTAGTCTAGTGTCACAGGGTTTATTCTAGCTTCACCTCTTTCCAAATTTATAATTCTCTTCTCTGACAGTGAGATACCTGGCTCCCAGTATCTTCAGTTATTGATTTTTCATTTCTTGTGTGTAACCAAAGTCCCTACCATTGTTATACAAAGATCAGCCCTGATACATCCCTCTTCCCACCCCATCAGACACTCTAGGTGTTTGAAGCAGGGGAAGGAACAAGGAAGAAAGACTAAAGAACTTGACTGTAGATATGCTGTTGCCTGCTCCCTTTACAACCCCCATCACTAGGTGCTCTGGTGAGAATATAGAGAAGGAGGATTAGTTAGAAAGCCCGGCTTTGGGCCTCAGTGTCCCCTTCTTTACCAGTCACACTGGCTAGAAGTTGGGCCCTGGATCTCTCCCAGTTGGATACACTAGCCAGCTGACCAAAAACTGAGCCCTGGCCACAGAAGAAAGGTGCTTCATTTACATCCTAAAAGGAACAAAGTTTTCAAAATTTAAACAGGTGATACAGTTTTCTTAGACAAGGAACCTTGCCTTTCCATCACACAGGGTTCTTTATAAATGTCTATAATATTTTTCAAGGTACCCATGGATACAAAGTTTTAGAAGCCACATGGATGGATAGAATTGTGGCTGAGCCCTCTTATATGCTGACCCAGTCTTTCATTTAATTTTTTTAAAGTTTATTTATTTTGAGGAGGGGAGGGGCAGAGAGAAAGAGAATCCCAAGCAGACTCTGCATTGTCAGCACAGAGCCTGATATGGGGCTTGACCTATGAGATCATGACCTGAGCAGAAATCAAGACTGGGATGCTCAACAGACTGAGCCAGCCAGGCACCCCCATGCTGACCCTTTAAGTTTATTTATTTTGAGAAAGAGAGGGGGGTGGGGATGGAGAAGGGGCAGAGAAAGAGGGAGCGAGAAAGAATCCCAAGCAGGCTCTGCACTGTCAGCACAGAACCTGACGTGGGGCTTGAACCCACAAACCATGAGATCATGACCTGAGCTGAAACCAAGAGGCAGATGCTTAACCGACTGAAGCACCCAAATGCCTCTATGCTGACCCATTTTTGAGCTGTTGCAGATTTGAATGTTTAGATTTTCTGATTGGCGACAGGTGGAGTTTTTATGTGCTATTTGGTGACTAATAGAGTCTTCTCGTTGTTGAATATTTTCCCATAGCACCAACACCATCACATTTCATTTGGGGATATTCAGCACTCTTATGAAATCTGGTTAGCATAGTCATAGTTAAATAATCATTATCATAGTTAAAAACCAATCAGTCTTGTGACTAGGAATTTAATTTTTTTTTTTTTTTTAACGTAATCGCTACACCTAGTACAGGGCTTGAACTCAGATCAAGGGTGGCATGCTCTTCTGACTGAGCCAGCCAGGGCCCCTGTCTTATCACTAGAAATTTGAAGATAATCTCTTTGTTATGGCTATTAGTCTCTTAATTTTTGTTCATTTTTTCACTATCTCCATGAAAAATTCTCCATACTCACCGTTAAATTGTTGCTCTTCCATTTCCGTGGTTCTCAAAATTGCTCATCATTAGTTGAACATGTTATAAAATAATAAGTAGAATTTCTGCTATTTAGTATGTTTTTTTGAAAGGCTTCTTGGGCTATTTGGTGTTTGTTTTTAGTAAATTTTACAGTTAACATCTAAATACATTCTTGGAGGGATTTTTTTGAGAATGGTGAAGTAGATCAGCAACATCTGAAGAACAAAGTGAGTATAGAAAGAAGTTTATTCTGGATGGTATAAGAAATCAGATATTCTAGCTAAGAAGAGTTACCATTGGATACCTTGGCATCCTTGGATATCCAGTTATCAAAGAATTAGAAAACATTAGCTGCATCTGGTTGGCTCAGTCAGTAGAGCATGTGACTCTTGATCTCGGGGTTGTGAGTTTAAGTCCCACGTTGGGTATAGAGATTACTTAAAATCTTTTTTTTTTTATTTTTTTTTTTCAACGTTTATTTATTTTTGGGACAGAGAGAGACAGAGCATGAACGGGGGAGGGGCAGAGAGAGAGGGAGACACAGAATCAGAAACAGGCTCCAGGCTCCGAGCCATCAGCCCAGAGCCCGACGCGGGGCTCGAACTCACGGACCGCGAGATCGTGACCTGGCTGAAGTCAGACGCTTAACCGACTGCGCCACCCAGGCGCCCCTAAAATCTTTGGGGCATCTGGGTGGCTCAGTTGGTTGAGCGTCTGACTTCAGCTCAGGTCATGATCTGGCAGTTTGTGAGTTCAAGCCCCCTGTCGAGCTCTGTGCTGACAGCTCAGAGCCAGGACCCTGCTTCGGATTCTGTGTTTCCCTCTTTCTCTGCTCCTCCCTGGCTTGCTCTCTGTCTTTCACTCTCTCTCAAAAATAAATAAACTTTAAAAAGTAACAATAAAATAAAATCTTCATTAAAAAAGGAAAACATTAAAGCCTTCCTAATACTTAAACACAATTTAGTCTTTTTTTTAATTCAAATGGCACCACAGAAGCTTGCAGTGCCTCAAGAGTTATATTAAGTATCGTATCTATAAATGTGTACAAGATGCCAATTAATAGAGTTATAATAGAATCCCAGATTTCAGGAAGTTTACTGCCTTTTGAGAACAAATTTACATTAATCTTTACCATATGCCATAAAGATGGTTTAAAATGTCAGTACATATATGTATTAGTGAAAACTATGCTTGATCATGGATAGTAGAAGTTGAGGATTGACAAAGTTTTTAAGTATCAGAATTACATGAATGTTCAGATGACAGTGATAACAGTAAAAAAAAGAATGAAGGTAGAACTGTTTATATGCAGAACCTTTTTAATTTTTAGAATTGACATTTTAAAAATTTTGAGATGGTTGTTTATCAGCTTAAAAGGAAGGAAAGAAGGGTGCCTGGGTGGCTCAGTTGGTTAAGCGTCCGACTTCAGCTCAGGTCATGATCTCACAGTTCGTTGGTTCAAGGTCCACATTGGGCTCTGTGCTGACAGCTCAGAGCCTGGAGCCTGCTTTGGATTCTGTGTCTCCCTCTCTTTCTGCCCCTCCGCTGCTCATGCTCTCTCTGTCTCTCAAAAACAAATAAACATTAAAAAAATTTTTTTTAAATAAAAGGAAGGAAATAATTGGTCTCTTATAAGTATCTGATTTATATCATACATTATGGTATATTTTACATTCTTAATTGTAGCCTTAAAGTAATAACTCCAATGCAGGTTTTTAAAAGATGTTTGCTTCTTATAAGAACTTTACATTTACATAGATTATATTACAAACCCCTATCCCTAAGTGTACCAATTGTTTTTTTCTCTAAGGGCCTTTCTGAACTTTATTGTAATATTATAATCTGTATTATAACGCTCATGTAGGGAGCACTGGAAAAGTAGTGATGTTGGGGTCCCACTCTTGTCCAGGTAGTTGAGAACCTCTGGGAGTGGGGCCCAACACAAAACCTTTACATTTTATTCATTTATTTATTTTTAACGGGCTTTGTTTGTTTGTTTTTTGTTTTTGTTTTTTTGAGAGAAAAACAGAACAGAGGAGCTGAAGCAGGCTCTGTGCTGCCAGCGGCAAGCCCCTTTGGGGCTAGAACTCACAAACTGTGAGATCATGACCTCAGCCGAAGTCAGATGTTCAACCAACTGAGTCACCCAGGTGCCCCAAAACCTTTACATTTTATAATTCAGGGCAGTTTTATGGGGCCCCTGGATGGCTCAGTTTCGAGCCCCACATTGGGCTCTGTGCTGACAGCTTAGAGCCTGGAGCCTGCTTCAGATTCTGTGTACACCGCCCCCCCCCTCTCCCCGCCTGCTGCCCCTGTTCTGCTCATGCTCTGTTTCTCAAAAATAAATAAACATTAGGGGCGCCTGGGTGGCTCAGTCGGTTAAGTGTCTGACTTGGGCTCAGGTCACGATCTCACTGTCCGTGAGTTCGAGCCCCGCGTCGGGCTCTGTGCTGACTGCTCAGAACCTGGATCCTGTTTCAGATTCTGTGTCTCCCTCTCTCTCTCTGACCCTCCCCCGTTCATGCTCTGTCTCTCCCTGTCTCAAAAATAAATAAAACGTTAAAAAAAAAAATTAAAAAATAAATAAATAAATAAACAAACATTAAAAAAAAATTTTTTTTTAATTCAAGACAGTTCTAATACATAGTCAATTGAGATTTAATGATCTAATCTAAATCCTAATCTCCCTGAAAGCAGGAAATGTGTCATAACCATCTTTGTGGGTCCAGTGCCTAGTATAGGCCTGGCCCAGCGTAGATACTTTCTTAAATGAATTTGTAAGTTTGTGTTCTGATTCTCTAAGTCTATAGTTTTAAGAGATAGCTCTACTAAATGATACTTTATGTTTGTTCTACTTTTCTATGAAGGGCCGAGATGGACGAAAAAATGTGGTTCCTTATGTTTTATCTGTTAGTGGAAATCTAGACCGAGGCATGCTGGCTTATCTCTACGATTCTTTCCAGCTAACAGAGAGCTCCTTTACAAGAAAGAAGAATCTTCATAGAAAGGTGCTTTTAATATTTCAGAGATAAACTTGGGAAACTAGAAGTATATGTTTTTTTCACTCATGTTATTAGTATACTTGGTTTCTAACACAAACTGTGAATAATAAATTTCTTTTAGTGCAAGTTATTTTACTGTTTTTCAGATTTTTAGAATCTGGCCACAGGAATAATATGCAGGTTCTCACAGAATAGAACAAGGCATTCCTATTGGGTAATCCCAGAGGCATTTCTGTTTGATCCTGGCAGACAGGTAGACAGAAATCTCTGATTCTTAGCTCCTGAGCCTTTCCCTCGGTGGCTTCCATTTGTATCAGAGTGTTAAGTAGGATTATGTCACACTAGTAAGACTTGTGGTATTGACCTTACTGCTTCTAGTCGGACCCCAAGTGGCTATTGAGTAGATCATAAGAGCTAGCTATGGGCCTGGATAAAGGACATTTTTAAGGGCTCAAAATCAAGAGAGAGGAAGAAAGAAAATAAATGACTAATGGAGCAAGATTTTGGAAGAAACATGAGGAGTCAAGGCAGGATCAAGAACACAAGTGGGAGGGATTGGTCTTGAAAAGGAATTATTTGAAAAAGCAGGGAGGAGAGAAATGATTGTATAGATAGAAATAGGCTACCAGGGCTGGTTAGCCTTTGAAGGAAGTTTTCCTCATACCCTCTATTTTCGTAGGGAATTAGAAGGCAGGATTATTAATTTAAACTGGGGAGGAGTACAGTTTAATTGGCAAGAATTTAGAGTATTCATATCCCCCTTGAATGCAAAAGGGAGGTGCCCCAAATCAATTTCGACATGTTGGGTACTCAGCTGGGACTGGAAACTGAATTTGTCCTACCACGCAGCAGAGCTAAGTGATTTATTATGCAGTGTTCATTTAGCCTGATAGGCCCCTAAAGTTGGATTATAGAATTGTTCAGGGGCTGGGATTTATAGGATGTATAGCAAACAAGGGGGATCCGTTCTTTCTCTCATATCCCACATCCAAACCGTCAGCAAAAACCATCGGACTCTGTCTTCAAAATATATCCTGTGTCTGACCATTTCTTACCACCAACTGCTTCCACTCTGATCTAAGCCACCACCATCCCCTCCCTCTGGCACTGAATGACCCTTTTAAAAGGTATGTGTTACTTTGCCCAGCTGCTCAGAATATTCCGCTAAACTCCGCTCACTCAGATGAAAAGGCAAAGCCTCCCAAGTGTTTCACAAAACCCTTCCCTTTTGACCTCACATGCCTGCTCCAGCAGCACAGACCTCCTTGCTGTTCCTAGGACATGCAGGTCATGCTTCCATTTGGCTGGGATGCGCCTCCTCCAGGACCCACTTACACCTCTCAAGTCTGCTCCAGTGTCATCTCAGAGAGAAGAACTTCTCTTACCACCTTATTTAAAATTGCAGCGGTTCCTGGGTGGCTCAGTCAGTTAAGCACCCGACCTTTGATTTTGGCTCAGGTCGTGATCTCCCATGTCACACAGTTTGTGAGTTTGAGCCCCATGTTGGGCTCTGTGCTCATGACGTGGAGCCGGCTTGGGATTCTGTCTCCCTCTCTCTCTGCCCCTTCTCCGCTCATGTGCGTGCACCCTCTCAATAAAAAAAATAAAGTTAAACTAAAAAAAATTGCAAACAGCCTCTCCAATCCACCACTCACCAGCACTTCCTGTCTCCTCCCATACCACCTTCAAATATATGATTTACTTGTTTATTATCCGTTTATCCCCTCCATGAGGGGCAGGGAGTTTTGTCCCCAGTACGTAGAACTGTTTCTGGCACTAAGTAGCTGTTCAATATTTGTTGAGTGGATGGATGAATAAGAAAAGTGGTAAGTTTTGGCAAAAGAGAGTCCAAACGATAAGCCACATGGCTCTGGCTGGGTAGGGAAGGCAGTGATGCCAGGAAGGGGCGTTTTGATTGAGGGAAAATGGAGTTGTCAGAAAATGGGAGAGTAGCAAGTGAGCTTATTTCTGCAGAACATTTAAGTGGAGAAGTCAGTGAGCACCTGGATATAGCCAGCTAAGTACATCATTACATGATTTTTTTCTGACCTCAGCTAGCTTCCGTTTTCGTACAAGATTTTACTGTTTAAGAAGCTCTATGTTTGTTAGTGCTTGTGTTATGTTTAAACAAGGTGTGCTGTCCTTTCCCCCCCCCCCCCTCTTTAAATTGCTTTAGGTACTTAAACTTCACCCTTGTTTAGCCCCTGTTAAGGTTGCTTTGGATGTGGGAAGAGGCCCAACAGTGGAATTAAGACAGGTGGGTTAAATGAGTTTTAATGTCATGATTTTAATTATTACCATTATTTCAAACAAATGGGTAGCTTGCCATTTAAAATTTTTGATTTGTTTGATTTTTTAAAGTAATATTTTTTTATTTGAGAGAGAGAGAGGAAGTGGGGTAGAGGGGCAGTGGGCGACAGAGAATTCCAAGCCCTGGGGATAGATACCATGACCCTGGGATCATGATCTAAACTGAAATCCAGAATTGGACACTCAGCTGACTGAGCCACCGAGGCATCCCTCATTGGCTTCTTAAAAAATTTAATTAAATGGCTATGGATAAATTCTATGGTTAATTATAGATAATTGGAACTATAGTATATAAAAGAAGCTGCATACAGTTCAGCGGATTTTACTGTTAAGTCATGCTTAGTGAGAGTTGCATTTTTTAAATGAGTGTGCATAGTTTTGGTAATCCGAATATTTGTACAGATGTCTAGTGAGTTATTTCTTGCCTACTTACAATTTTAAGGTAACACTTTTGATACCTGTTGATATAAACACAAGTTCTAGATCTGTAATCTTGTTTTGGTTTTTCTAATCTATCTAGCCTAATGAAATACTCTTGAGAAAAGCCAGGAGGGTGGTTTTAGTTTCTTTTGAGACCCCCCTTCACAGTGATGCTGGGTCCTGGGTGACTCAGACCCATCTAGCAACTGAGTGAGGACCCTAGCAAGATTCACCCAGCTTTTTTCTTCAGGGTCCTGTGGAGTGGTCTTGGGGGGAGGGGCAGGTAGTGCACACAGAGGAAGGGAAGGTAATGGTTTAACTTCCACTTTTCCCCCTGGGGTCATGGCGGACTCCCCAGCTCCCTTGTAGGTAGAAGTTCCTTGGGGTTTTTTGCTTGAAGGACAAAAAAGAACTCTGCTCCTTAAATATTTGTCATTGTAATTGCCCGCCTTGTTTTGTTTACGTGTAAGAATATAATAGTATTGTGTCCCGTGGGTGTTTTGAATTTACCAAAAGGGAGCATGTTGTATATCTTACTGTGTTTCTAACTTTTTTCCCTCAGCAGTATGACAGAAGTTTCTGGGCTATGCAAGGGTTTTTTGCTGGGTATATACATGAAGATGGGATTACTGGATAAAATGGATATGAATCCTTAATTTCACTATGTCACTGAGATTGTCTCCATATTGGCTGCATGGTGTATTTGTATTCTCACTCATGGTGTGGGGATTGTCATTATCCCATGTCTTCAGCACCTAATCATGCTTAGAGCCATTTCTCTTCTACCTTCCAAAAGAGCAAAAATATTTTAAGTTTATATATAGCGGGGCGTGGGGGGCAGAGAGAGAGGGAGAGAGAGAATCCCAAGCAGGCTCTGCACTGTCAGCACAGAGCCTGATGTGGGGACTGATGCCACGAACCACGAGATCATGACCCGAGCCGAAATCGAGTCGAACATCCAACCTAATGAGCCAGCCAGGTGCCCCAAAAGAGCAAATTGTTTGCTGTCAACCACTAACCTGTTAAAATCCACAATTATGTTTACCTTTCTCTGTTAACTTCTTACTTAGATTTATTAATATTTATATTCTCACCTATCCCCAAAATATCAAGTACCTTAACACCCACCTACTTAGTTACGGTCTTTCCCTCGGAACTTGTTAGAAAGGCAGATTCTTGGTCCTCGCCGCAGAGCCGCTGAATCAGAAACTCTGGTGATGCAACACGTGTTTGACAAACCCTCCAGGGGATTCTAATGCTAGCTGAAGTTTGCGAAACAGTACTGTCGCTCAGGCACTCCCTCCACACTCCCCAGTCCGCGATAGTCATCCTCCCCACCAGGGACATTTGGTGTTGTCTAGAGACAGCTTTGGTTGTCAGTTGTGGGGAGAGGAGTGCTGGAGGCATCTCGTGGAGGCCAGGGATGCTGCTCAGTATCCTGTGTCAGCATTCGGAGGGGGAGAAACCCTTCTCCAGATTGTTAAGGATGTTTAAAGTTTTTGCTCTGTTTTGCTTCACCATTGCTTGTTAAGAAAACTGTTTAATGTGTAAATTATGTAATATTACTGCTTACTACTTCTGTATTTCCAGTCAGCGTTCCACCAAAATCAGTCATTCTGTCCTGGAAACGTTTTCTTTAGTTGGCTTCAGGAACACTGTTGTCCCCGTTTTCATCATGCCCGTCTGACTACTTCTCCCTTGTTTCCTCTCTGCCTGACATGGTTGTACAACCCTGGGGCTCAGTGCCCTGCTCTCAGATGAGTTCACAGTTAGCACAGCGCTTTGGACTGTTTTTTCTCCAACAGAATCTGCTTTGGTTTTGTTAGTGTTTTGAATGATAACGATGATGACAAAAATTCCTGTATTTGGCATAAAATTTTCAGAGAATATTTGCATTTAGTATTCAGCTTTGCAGTGCTTAATTTCTTCATTTCCAGAGGAAGTATGCAGCTTTTAAGTATATAGTATATGAATGGTGAACACTATTATCACATAACTAAAAGAATTTATGCCCATTTTAAACACTGGAAAAGGTAATTAGTGGTTTCATGAAAACAGGGTAATCGTCCTAGCTACTTTTACTTCCTTCATATTTGAATTTTATGTATTTTTTCTCAGGTTTGTCAAGGACTATTTAGTGAATTACTAGAAAATGGAATTTCTGTGTGGCCTGGTTATTTGGAAACTGTGCACTCCTCACTGGAACAACTTTATTCAAAGTAAGAATTGTCTTTTTTTTTTTTTCCAACATTTATTTATTTTTGAGAGAGTGAGAGAAAGAGAGAAACAGAGCGTGAGCAGGGGAGGGGCAGAGAGAGGGAAACACAGAATCTGAAGCAGGCTTCAGGCTCTGAGCTGTCCGCACAGAGCCCGACGCGGGGCTCGAACTCATACACTGCTAGATCATGACCAGAGCCAAAGTTGCACGCTTAACCAACTGAGCCACCCATGCACCCCAAGAATTGTTTGTGTTCAGAGGTTTTGATCCTGTGATGTTTCTTTATGAGTAACAGAAATCTCTTCTAAATATCCTTCTAAATATCTATTTATATCTACATAAAATTATTCCTGACTCTCCCATTTACAGAACCATGTGCCCCTAGTTAATTGCTATAGCAGGAACAGTATTCATCAGGTATAGCTGAGCACATACTATGTGCAGCTTTAAGACTTAATGTCATGGACTATGTGTACCCGAGTTTATCATTTTATCAAGGATGCATTTATGTGTATTAGACACATTTATTGAATTAGGACTGAGGGAACATGAGTGGAGTGCCTTTTCCTTGCTTGTGTTGTGGTTCATCCTGAGGCTGAGTGGAAGATAATTCCATCCCAGACAAAGGACAGAGGACTAGTTTCAGTGATCAGCACCTCTGTTCACCTAGTTGATCCAGACACATTCCTGGATTTATCGTCCTTAACTCTTTCCTCTTCCTTACTCTTCACCTCCAGTTCATCACTACATGCCAGCCTGCCTCCTGAATAGTATCTTGGACCCATCTCTCGATCCTTAGTACACTGCCCAAGTTAAAGTCAACAGTGTCTTCTGGCTGGTTCTTGCAGTAATCTCCTGATCTTTTTTTTTTTTTTTTTTTTTTAATTTTTTTATGTTTATTTTTTGAGAGAGAGAGAGCGTGAGTTGGGGAGGGGGCAGAGAGAGAGGGAGACACAGAATCCAAAGCAGGCTCTGGGCTCTGAGCTATTGGCACAGAGCCTGACACAGGGCTTGAACTCACAAACCACAAGATCATGACCTGAGCTGAAGTCGGACCCTTAACTCAGGCGCCCCTCCTGATTGATCTTCTGTCTCTAGTCTTACCCCCTGCTATTTCATTAACTTCTGTTTTTCAAATAATCCATTCTTCCCTCCTTTGGGTTTATTTTGTTATCGTAATAACTTTTTGTGTTGACTATCTTTTGGGTGAAAAGTTGGGAAGCTTTATGTTTTTCTCTTCAGTTCTCTAGCAACTTGTTAAAATACGCCTTTCAGATGATGTCAGAGGAAAAACAGGTTTCTATAGATAAAGCAAGTAATGGTTTCATTGTGTGTAAAACTGAAAGGTGCTGCTTGAACCTGCCAGTCCTGTGAGTTCTAAAATCTTATCCTTTGTGTCATTGAAGGATAATTGAATATTACCAAGTTACAGTTGTTTTTGAATGGTAAAGCCCAAGAGCTTTTTAATGGAATATTTATTAAGCACACTTACTATATTTCGTGCACTTTGATAACAGCAATAAACAAGACAGAAAGGATTCCTGTTCTTATGAAGCCTATATTCTAGTGGGACAAAGTAGACAGTAAACAAGTAAATAGATAAATAGGATAATTGCTGTTGGAATTCTAGAAAGAAAACAATGAGGTAGTGTAACTGGGTAAGCAGAAAGAAGGCCAGTGCGAATATATTCAGTTATTGCTGAACTAGAAACTATAAGTTAGCCTACTAAGTTCTGTATTAAGCAAGCATGGTTTGGGTATAATGTATTGTACTCAAGATCTTTGTTACAGTGGTATTATAAGAGAATTTAGTCTAAAGTAATTTTTCTTGAATTGTATCCAAGTACCAAAAGGCTACAGTTATTCTGAGGTTCATCCATAATTTCACCCCAAATGATGCGTTGAGGTACCAGTGTTTATTTCTCAAATTTTAGTTTTTTATGACTTTCCATCTATTACAATAATTCAGAGAAACTTTATGAAAAGTTTACTTTGAATACAATTTGGAAACTTTGAAAAAGTTTTTTGGTCTACCTTTCAAGCCCTGCCTTTGAGTTTTGTGACTCTGGAAAGTGACTGGATTCTAAAGTAATTAAAGCTGGTAGTATGGTGAATTTACAATTTAATTTGTGCTCATGTGTTTTGTTTGACCTCTTTTTCCCTCAGATATGATGAAATGAGTATTCTCTTCACAGTTTTGATTACTGAAGCTACTTTGGAGAATGGGTTGCTACATCTGAGAAGTAGAGACACCACGATGAAGGAAATGATGCATATATCCAAAGTAAAAGACTTTTTAATCAAATATATATCATCAGCTAAGAATGTATAGATTTTAATGTTTATATAATAAATATTCTTCCTTCCTAATTCGATTGTCTTCTATTAACTTAGGTTTGTTTTTAGCACCTTTACACTTATGAAGTAGACATTTTCCGTGCTTTTTTAAAATTCAGTTTTTATTCCTGATATATCTTGACGTATTCCATTCTATCAGAAATATGTGCAGCTACAAGAAACAAAAATCCCACTATATGGGGTGCCCCTAGTTGGCTCAGCTGGAAGAGCATGTGACTCTCGAATCTCAGGATTGTGAGTTCAAGACCTACAATGGGTGTAGAGATTCCTTGAAAATAAAATCTTAAAAAAAAATCCAACATACTGGATTAAGCAAATTGTAGTTTGTTTTTCTCATAACAAGAAGTCCAGGGGGTGGACTGTCCAGAGCTGGGATAATTATTTCAATTATAGTTAGGGACCCAGGCTCTTGATATCTTTCTATTCTACCATCTTTAGTATTTGGGTTTTTATTTTTGTACTTGCTGCTACATGCTCATAAGGTGACTCCTGGCTAGGCTTCTTGTCCACATTCTAGTTAGTAAGAAAGTCAAGGAAGCAAGAGCTAATCAGCCAAAACTCTTTCCTTTTTTTTTTCAAAAAAATTTTTTAATGTTTATTTATTTTTGAGACAGAGAGCATGAACGGGGGAGGGTCAGAGAGGGAGACACAGAATCGGAAGCAGGCTTCAGGCTCCAAGCTGTCGGCACAGAGCCCGATGCGGGGCTCGAACTCACAGACCGTGAGATCATGACCTGAGCCAAGGTCGGACGCTCAACCGACAGCCACCCAGGTGCCCCAACTCTTTCCTTTTTAATTGGGAAAGTAAAAGCTTTTCCAGGCATCCCAATTAAAAGACTTATTTACATTTCATTGGTCAGAACTGGGTCATCTGGTCACTCGTAGGCCAGTCACTATCTGAGGGGATGAGAATATCATAATTTGGATCAAACACAGTTTATTCTTTGGGGCTTTAGTAGTGTCTTCTCTCTGAAATGGGTTCTACTATCAGGAAAGAAGGAGTCTTTCTAGAATCTGCCACATGTATATTGTCAAATACTGAAGATTAACATAAAACTAAACTTTCAAAAATTAGCACATTTATTTTTAAAACGCAAAATAAAATGTTAGATGGCATAATCTAGTGTTACAGTGCATTTTGTGTCTGCTTCTCATAGATAAAAGAAATCTTTAGACTTTTGTGCTGATTATGTTTGTGTTAATTATGCTGTCATTACTCACTTGGCAAAAATTCCAAATATATGGACAATAGTGTAATTGACTCCAAATACGATGGCCCAGCACCAGCAACCATCAGCCTGTGAACATCTTGCTTCCTCCCCCTAACACCACCTTTCCATTCCAGTTTGAAGCAGATTATGGGTATCATTTCGTCTGTAAGGATTTCAGTTAAGTATCTTTTGTTAACCATTATCCCACCTAAAAACATTAATACTAGATGATATGAAGGAATTATTGACAATTTCCTTGGGAGTCTGATGATGGTATTATGGCTTTTTTTTTTTTTAAACATCCTTATCTGAAAGAGACACATACTTAAATATTTTTGAGTGAAATTATACGATATCTGAAACATGCCTTAAAATTCTCCAGTTAAAAAAAAGTGGTGGAATATAGATTAAAAAAAAATATCTCTGAGTTGTTGGAGGTGGGTGATGGGTACATGGAGGTTCATTGTAATGCTTTTCTATTTTTGCATATGTTTGAGAATTTTCATAATAAAAAGTTTTTAAAAACAAATTCTTTTTTTTTTTTTAATGTTTATTTATTTTTGAGAGAGAGCAGGAGAGGAGCAGAGAGAGAGGGAGACAGAGAAGCCAAAGCAGGCTCTGGGCTATCAGTGCAGAATACGATGCGGGGCTTGAACTCAGGAACTGTGAGACCATGACCTGAGCCCAAGTTGGATACTCAACTGCCTGAGCCACCCAGGCACCCCAAAACCAATTCTTTAATATCAAATATCCACTTGATTTTCAATTGTCTCATAATTTCATAAAATTGAAGTTGATTGTTAGGTCTTTTAGTCTCTCTTATCCCATAAATTTGAGCTCTCTCTGTTTTTCCTTTTTTAAGAAATCGGGCTGCTTATTTTACAGGCTTTGTCACTGTTTGGACCGTGCTTACTGCATCCCCGTGAGGGTTTAACCTGTTCTTCTCTATATATAATTCCTGTAGAGTGGAAGTTGAATCCAGAGGCTTGATCAGTTTCAAGTTTAATTTGGGGGCGGGGGCGGGGAGACAAGATTTTTCCTAGGTTGTGTTCTCCCATCAGGAGGCAGTAATGTCTGGTGGTTTCTCTTTTGGGGATGCTAGCAATCAATCGTTGATCAATGCTTAGGTCAGTCAGTTCATTAGAGGTGGCAAAATGGTGATATTCTGATTTTCTTACATCTTCATTCATTAGTTAGAATACTTCTGTAAAGAAAAACATCTCTTACTTGCTTAGAGGTATGAGAGACGTAGGATAAATGCTGATTCGTCCCCTTTAAAGTTGTTCCTTTTGATGTTCAAATTGTCCTGTCGTTAGCCAGTGGGAGCTTCTTCAAGTTGGCCTGGAGTCCTTTTGACATAACTTTAGTAGTGTTTGATAGCTTCCTTGGTATCTAATGTCTGATCTAGAGATTGTATATTTCAGAGTTTCTCCAAGAAACCCTGGTTCCTTTTAATGGAAAACAGTATTTGGATGCTGTACTCCGGGTGCTAGGGGTACTGATAATTAGAAAGTGGACTTTGTGTCTAGGCCTTTTCAGTGTTCACAACGAGCGTGTGTGTGTGTATGTATATGTTTTAATCATCTTTATTGAGATATAATTTATCTTCAATAAATTTACCTATTTTAAATGTACAAATTATGCGTTTTAGATAAAAAATGGGTAACTACTACCAGAGTGACAATATAGAACATTTCCATCACCCCGAAAAAGTCCCCTCATGCCCTTTAGGACTGCAGGGGTTTTACTTAATCTCTTTTATCAGACATTTGTATTCCCATTCCAAAATCCCAGTTCTCAGGACTATTGAGGGTAATGATAAAATTAGCCACATCCCACAACTGCTCATTTGTTTTATTTTACCTTAATTATATCAGTCTCAGAATTGCAATACCAATATGACCCCTGTACGTCTACTTAAAAGTTTAAATTTCATTTTTGCATTTTGGGGTTCAATACTTAGTTTTAATATAACTAAGAATTTTTTAAGTCTTAAAACATTTTTCTAAAGCTCTCCGTTGTACTGACAGGTCCCTTTATTTAGGTACCTTTTCCTTTTAGGGGCCTCAGCCTTCACAGGAGATTGTATTCCTGGTTTGACTGCTAAGGCATCTGCACTAATTGGCAACATAGAATGTTTACACTGCAGGTGAGGTAAGTAATATTTATGGAGGTTTTTCCAGATCACAGATGTCCAGCTGGAGTTCTACATCAGAATCCCCTGTGGAGCTTTTAAAAATCTGAATATATTTGAGCCCTATTCTTTCTGATAACAATCTCCGACCGTTGGGCCCATGCAAGTATATTTTTAAAACCTACAGGTGATTTCTGATGCTCACTCCAGCAGCAGTTCCCATTAAATCTGACCGAGAGCTGCACACCTGCATGGTATTGTTTTGATGTATTTTCCCTCCAATCCAATTATTTTTAATACATTTGTTTTTACCAAATACCCTTCTCACGTATTACATCACACCAATATCTATTGAAAGATGTTACTAAGAAATAGTCCTGTGAACTCATTGTTGATTTAGCCATAAGAGTGTTTTTGAAGGCATTTGTTTGCTGTTATACCACATCGTCCTGTAAGGAAGCATGGGAGAAATTTCTCTCAGATAATTGTGCTTCTCCTGAAGACCGGCCTGTTCTTGTATGTGTTCTCTATTTGTTCATCTTGTTCATTCAAAAAGGCTTTCTGAGCACCTGAGTCCCAGGGACTGTAAGTGTTAAGGACGTAGTGGTGAACAACACAGACAAGTCCCTTCCAGGGGTGGGCAGGTGGGGACAGATGCTAAGCAGGAGGCACATGGACAATTTCAGGTAATTTCAGATAGTGATAGTGTTGTAGGTAATAGAACAGGATGATGTGCCAAATTGTGGCTGGGTAGTGTGTTTTGCATAGGTTGTCAGGGAATCTCTGAGAACCTGACCTTCGAATTGAGGCTGAATGATACAAAGGGGTCAGGTGTGTGAAGATCTGGGGCGGTGGGACTAGCAAGAGCCAAGGCCCTTAGGAGGGAAAAGGTGTGGAATGATCAAGGAGCAGAAAACAGGCCAGGGGAGCCGGAATGGATGAGCATAGGGGAGATGGGTAGAAGAGGTCAGAGAGGTGGTCAAGACCCACATCACTTAGGGACCCTTGGGTGGCTTAGTCAGTTGAGCGTCCAACTCTTGATTTTGGCTCAGGTCATGATCTCATGGTTGGTGACTTTAAGCCCCCCATCAAGTAGCCTTATAATCTTTGCAAACCTTATGCACACCTCTTTTTCTGCCCCCCTGCCCTCTGTCATTTATGTTTACTCTATGAATCTTCTTGAATCTTACACCCTTTATCTGTGTTCAGGTTTCTTCTTCAAGTATACGGCGTATTTCTTTCACTGAGAACATGATTGGAAAACCTCCTTCTCAGTCTTTGTCTTAAAATACCTTCATTGTACCCTCAGTCTTGATTGATATTTTGGCTGATGTGGTAGATTCTTTGGCTCTCTTAAGTGTCATCATGACCCTCCTATTTGGTGGCATCAGAAACCTAAAAAATTACAATTCCCTTACTGCCAGGGTGTGTGTGGTTGTGAATGTCTTCCATTTAGACACGCGTGCGTGGGGTCTGGAAGGCAGAAGGGAAGGTGGTGGTTGTCGCTGAGAAGCAAATGTCTGCGGTGGCAGAACTCCACATCCCATGTCGAGCCTCCAGTTTCTGGGCCTGAGGCTGTTGTGGCAGGAGGCAACCAGGGTAACGGCAGCAGTAGCTCTCCGGTCTCCA